CCCAGGGCCTTGTGCATGTGAGGCAAGCACTCTACCAGCTGAGCTATATCCCCAACCCTAAAAATGCAAGTTTTTAACTATGACAGAGAAAAACAGAACACCATAAATTAGACTATTGTTTATTCTAGATTTCTTTCTTTTGCCCCCTTCTTTATTCAAGCAAATTATTAGAGCCACGTAGCTAGCTACCTCTGGTCACTCCCTTGTCATTTCATTTACTACTGTTGTCTGAATTCACCTCCTATGCAAAACCTTTGCAGTAACTGCTAGGCCTATCTTCTAGCGTCTATCTTCCACCCATCCTTTTTCATGCTAATTTCCTACCATGTATATGCAGTTATGTTGCTATCCTGCCCCGGTTTTTTTTTTAGTTTCCCTACTATTTGTACAATAGAATCTAAACTCTTTCAGCATAGAGAGCATTTAAAGCTCTCAGTCATATAGCTCCATCTGCCTGCCTGCTCTCCATTTCTGCTGTTTCTAACTTGTGTTTTAAGTCTTGGAGTGATTTAAGCACTTCAAGATTCTTTTTGTCCTTTTTAGTGTTTTAAAATAATATAATTTGTGCTTATGGCAAAAAAATGATAACTACGAAACACATAATTTTTTTCCTTGTCTTTTTTTCCAGAAAAAGAAGAGAGAAAAAAATTCTAACTTGGGGATGGGACACCCAAACATGTACTTTTGGCAATCAGATTAGAAAGGAGTTGCTATAATCTCTTTAGGACCCACTCTGTGCATGCACAGATTTTGGCTTGGAATATCATCTCTCTTCCTTCTTGCCTCGTAAGTGCCTTTAATTCTGTCTGAAATCCTGCCTCTTTGTGAAGCCTTCACACCTGTTGGGATTTCAGTATCCTCAGTGTGCTGTGTCCTATCTTCATTACAGAAATCATCACATCATACTGTAATTATTTGTATTTTTGTCTTTGAACTCAACTCAAAGTTCCTTGAGGCAGCAATATTTTTATTTCCAGATATAGCACAAAACCTGAGAAGTGACCTCTAGTGACGCAGAGTGGAATAACAAGTAGAAACCAAGAAAATAGATTAAGGGTACCTTACATGTTATAGCCAGTCAAGAATTTATGAATGAAGGGATTCAGGTAGATGAGGCCAAGAAAGAGTTCTTTTATATGGTGAGTTTCATACGCATGGGAGGGAGTATACATCAGTTGTAGTAGGTTGAGGAGAGGGGAAATGATTAGGAAATGGGGACCAATGTAGACAAGAAGTTTAGACCTTTGACTATGAAAAAGAGACCCAAATAGAATGAGGACAATGTCTCAATGGCATTTTTTCCTGTTGTCTCCTAACAGGCTGTCTTGTGTGGAAAGCCATCGGTAGGAAATATTTTAGTACCTTTTCTGAACATAAGAATCACCTGGTGAACAGGTCCTGCTCCACAAAGGTTATGGTTTTTGGCTTGGGGAGGGTATCCAGGTGAGTCTCATGGGGTTGTTCCCAAGCTACTATGGGAAGTGCTCCGTTAACAGGTTTTGAAATATAAGATGCTTGGTGTGTCTTCTTTCCATTTCTCCACACACATACAAGAGGATTTCCCAGTACCTTCTGAAGACTGTTAGGATTTGTAAGGGGAGGCTGTGGCTCTTTACATAAAATGCTCTACTGCTTGCTTCCCCCGTGGCCTCTCCTAATTATAAGTTCTTCTAATTGTCCTCATAGCACATATTCTTTTTGTGTGTATGTAGGGGTTGGGTACTGGGGATTGAACCAAGAACACTTTACTACTGAGCTATAGCCACAGCCCTTTTAATTTTTTATTTTGAGACAGTATCTTACTGAGTTTCTTAGGCCTTGCTAAGTTGCTGAGATCGACCTCGAATTTGGTGATCCTCCTTCTTCAACCTCCTGAGTCACTGAGATTACAGGTGTGGCTCACTACAGCCTGGCCATTTTCTTATTCACTATCCTCTTCTTTGTCCTCATAGATCTTTATTCTTAATTGCTGTCATCTTCTTTTGCTTCTTCATTTCCCTGAAAGCCTGACCTTGCCTTTTACAGACACCAACAGCCAGTGTCAGCTCCTCTCTGTTTCTGCCAGTGTGCTGAATAGTCAGGAGAGTTGACATTTGTCCTCAAACTGTTTGCAGCCATCATCCTTTTTCTCTCAGCTTTTTTTTTTTTTTTAACCACTGGGGCCTTGAGCCACATTTTTGCCTGCTTTTGGGCTTGGAGCTCTTTCAGCAGTGTCAGGGTTGTGGTGAGTTGTTGTTTGACTTGTCAAGGTTCTTAGAAGGAAAGGAACTATGACAGATAAAGCAATATTCTAAAGGGATGTAGCCTCAGAATATTAAGAAACATTTTATGTTACCTAATAGTTTTATCTCAGTATTATTCTCTGAATTATATAATATTTTGAAAGATTTCTCAAAACTCTCCAGTGGTCCTTAAAGTAGCCTGAATATATATATATATATATATATATATATATATTATCTTTATATGGGACAAATATTTGTTCCAACTTTTTATAGAAACTGCCCACATACTCTTTACCACAGTGATGCATTTCCTCAGAAATCTTCATGTTCCACATTATTTTCATTTTGGCTTTGGAATTGATTACATTATTTGAATTGTTTAGCATTATAGACTATGGATTTACTACACATTAAGCTTTTAGGCAGGTTCTAAAAGATGAATTGTGATGCTTAGGTTTTGTCAGTCACTTGGATGTAGTTGCATGTAAGCATAACTGCCAACTTAAGATATAACAGAACTTTCTGATCTGAGCCCACTTGTGAAGTACGTGACTACACAAGTTGTTCTTATCTGCAGTTTCTGTGATGCCAACATTGAGTGCAAGTATCCTAGAGGTGCTCTGACTAGAGCTTAGAGCCCTGTCTGAACTATCAGACTAACATCATGAAATGTAGGCCCTTGAAGGTGAGGGTTCTTTAAAATTTCTCTTCAGTGTTAATGTGGAATTCAATGAACTTTTTCTTATCCAAGGAAATTTGCTAATAAAAAAATTTCACACAGTTTATCTGTGTTTTTAATAAGAGAGCAAAAAGAAGAGAAGAAAAAACTGTAAGAGTTTAGAAAAACAAAATCCCCATTACCTTTATATTATGCATATAATTCTTTGTCATTCCAGATCTCTTTGGTTTCTCTTATATGTTTAGGTACTGGTATTTTGCATTCCTTTGATATTGGTACATACTTCGCACACAGCATCCTGTAAACCTTCTAATATTGCAGCATGTTATTATTTTTATGATTGTCTAATAGTTCAAAAAATTTGATGCAATTAGAGTTCACCAATGTTTCCATTTTGCCTAGTATAAATGTACTAGAGTACTATACTGAACACATCTGCACGTGTATCATCTTTTATCTCTCTGGTGATTTCTCTTCATATTTTAAATTATTTATTCACCATAGGATGAACTCCCCAGTAGCTGATTTACTAAGTTGGGAGACATATTTTTTATGCTTTTTTATTTTTACACATTTTATGACACATTTTTTACACATTTTGCATTTTTTCCTCAAAAGTACAGCAATTTACAGAGCTACCACTTTCTTACAGCTATCTGCAGTAGGTTTTGGGGGGACAAAAAAAAAAACTTTTTTCCCCCCTCACTAGTTCTCCTTATAGTGTGTGTGTGTGTGTGTGTGTGTGTGAGTGAGAGAGAGAGAGAGAGAGAATGTTGATAACTAGTAAAGCTAAACTTTTTTGGCGGGTATACATTTGCTTTTTTTGATATTCTTGTGGCGGGGCAGATACTTATGTATAACTATTAGACTGGGTGCTGGTCTAGTAAGTATTTAAAGGGTAGAAAGGTTTAGGAACCTTCAACTGTAGCCATCTTTGAGCATCTGGTAAGGTATAGATTGTGAAACTCTGAAAACTTTGATTCAGAGAAAATAGTTATATAGCTAATGATTGGATGGTGAGGTAGTCTATTTAATATACCGAATGTTACCTGATTTTTTTCTGTAGGAATTTTAAAAGACACTCAAGACTCTTTCTTCCTGGGTCTTTTTACTCTCTCTCTCTCTCTCTCTCTCTTTTTTTAAAGTCTAGTTTGTAGATCTAGAAAGTGTAGGGAATTAAACTGAATATTTTACTAATTCCATGCATTTTTTTTTTTTCTTAACAAAGAGAAAAAGTAAGAGGAAACAAAGTGAAAATTGAGTTAGGGCCTTTACACGATATTGGTTTTTACCTGAGGAGAAATGAGGACTATTGAAGAGTTGATGAAGAGGGATGACTAGAACAGGTTTTGAAAAGCTCATTGAAACTGATGTATAGTAGTCAGGTAACTGAGGCATCTGGATGTGCATGTTTTTGCTCCTGAGAGACACAGGAGACCGTGGAGATGGAAATTATATGGGACAAAGAAAGAATTTTCATAGTTTTCTGGCGTTGGGGAGTACTTGATGTTGTTATTCTTCTTTTTTAGAGCACTGTTAGTTCAATGTTAAAACATTTATTTATGGGCTGGGGATGTGGCTCAAGCGGTAGCGCGCTCGCCTGGCATGTGTGCGGCCCGGGTTCGATCCTCAGCACCACATACAAAACAAAGATGTTGTGTCCGCCGAAAACTAAAAAATAAATATTAAAAAAAAAACAAAAAAACATTTATTTAGGGCTGGGATTGTGGCTCCGAGGTAGAGCACTTCCCTACCATGCGTGAGGCACTGGGTTCGATCCTCAGCACCACATAAAAATAAAATAAAGATATTGTGTCCACCTATGACTAAAAAATAAATATTTAAAAAAACATTTATTTAGAGAAGAATGAATTATGGGGATCTGCTGTGCAAGTTATTTGAGTAGTATAAGTAAAAAGTGAGATAGCTAGTTAGTGGAGAAAAATGATGGGGATGTGGAGAGGATTAGAGGAATGATTTGAGAGGTATTTTGTTTATAAAATCAACCAAAGATAAGGAGCGTGGCGGCACCTGTTATGTTTAATATATTTTTTATTATTTTCTTAATATAACATTACACATTTTTTATATTTCAGATGAATTTACAACTGGTTTTCTGGATTGGACTGATCAGTTCAATTTGCTGCGTGTTTGGTCAAACAGGTAAAAAAAAAAAAAGGTTTTCTAATTATCTTTTTATCTTATGCCACTCTTTGATTAATTGGATCCTTGGAAAACCTGAGTCAGATCACGCTGCTCCTTTTAAAAGCCCTGCAGTGGTCACATCTCATCATGAGTGAAGAGCCGTGTCCTTCCAATGGCCTGCAGTTCCTTCATGGTCAGGCTTGCCTCTAACCTGCTGCCTGATAGGCAGGTTGACTAGTGAAATGCTGAAATGATAGAGGAGCAGGATAGATGACACAAAAATCTTTTGAAAGTATAAAGTGTTTGAGCAGAGAGAAGGCAAAAGCATGTAATATATTCAGAAAGAAATAAAGTAAATCTATAGAATGGTGGCTTAAGAACTGCCCATTATTACCTAAAAAAATGTTAACTTTCTAAATAATGTTCTTACCCTTGGATGAAAAAGTTTTCCAAAATGTTGGCATCATCTAGAAGAGCAGTGAAACTAAAGCTAAGATACATTTAATCCTGTGAAGCATGGTGTGTCCACATCTGGAATAGTAGATACCAAATCTATTCTCCACATCTCAAAAAAGTACATTGAATAGAACAATTAGAATTATTTGCTCTCAGGATCGGAAAGACTTACTATATGTAAAAGTGAAGGAAAACTCCTTTAAAAAAAAACTTGATAAATTTGAATTATTAAAAATCATTATTCCAATATCTGTATGTTAGAACACCATAAATGAAAAACTAAACAAAGGCTTAGCTTCTTTAATATTTATGGAAAGCCACTAAAGATCATGAACATTATAATAGAAAAACTTGCAAAAAGACCTAACAGAAAATTCACAAAAAGAAATGATCAGTAAATACAAACAACAAATGTGATCCATTAAATAACTGACAATTGAATTAATATTCTAATGTATACCTCTTAAATGAATAAAAGTTTTTGATATTTAAGTACTTAGTGTAATTGGAGTGTGGCAAAATAATATGTATGTGTTGCATGGTGGAATAGAAATTAGTGTATTACTTCTGTGCAAAAATTAGTGTGTATTGCGGATCTCAGAGATGTTAATTTACTCTTCAACTTGCTAGCCCTTTTTTTGGACATTTGTTATAAGAAAGTTATTAGGTCTGTACTGAGGTTTATATGTAAGAATGGTCATCAAAGTGCATGTGTACTGCCGCAGTCTGGCTGAGCACAAAATAACCGAGCCGCCACGAGGCACTTGTAAGTTCAAACAGGAACTCTTTATTGCCCAAACTCCACCAGCACTCCACCTGCACCTCCCAGGAACACTCTCATCCTCCACCGGGCTCTGCGCCCACTCTCTCGGAACTCCTCGAGAACTCAACCGGAACTCCAAAGTAGCGGGCGCCCAAGGCTGCAGGAGCTGCCCTATTGCTGGACAGCAAAGGTCTATATACAACTGAATACACAGCTTAACTTAATCATCATCATCTCAATGGCTTGATGGCATCACATCTTAACCATTCCTTCTGGCAAAATGCCATGCTCCATCCTTACTCGGCTGTGGCCCTCAACAGTGTACATGGGCATGTGTGTGTGCATTTGGAGTGTTTGTGTGTGTGAGCAAGCTATTGTGAGCTGTGCACACACGTGCTTGGAAATTGTCTCCTTTTGCCCAACACTACCTAGATTATATTCATATAATAAAATATTATATAGTCATTGAAAGCCACATTTTTGAAGTATTTCTAACAACATGAATAAAACACTGAGAATAATGTTTAAAAAGCAGTATATAAAACTGTATTATGAAATGTATTGTCAATTGCTTTAAAATAATGTCTGTATGTGCTTGTTTGCTATTTCTTTATATGTCTGTACAGAAAAAAAAGACTACAAAGAAATATACAAAAAAATGTGCTTTATCGCTCAGTGAGCACATTGTGAATGATTATTTTTGTTATGCTTTCATGTGTTTTCCAATTTTCTATATAGAGTATTAGGTTTATAATAAGAAAAGTTACAGTGAATGCAGTTCTTATTTGTGTTTGCCACATGAAAGGCATGTGAGTTCTTAGGTGGAATAAGAAATATTTAAGACTTATTTTGAATACAGAGCCTAAAAATTCATGGGATTTTGGATTGGATAAGTGTGGATTTTTCACTTATTTAACATACTAAAAATGCAAATTACTAAGACATTTGTGGGAGTATAGGTGTGATATCCTGAATCACATGAAAAGAAGTAATAATACTTTACCCATTTGTAAGAAAACTCATTTTGTTTAATACCATCCAAATGAATAGATTCTGAAATTATACCTCTGAAAAAAATGATAAATGTATAGTTGGATTAATAGTACTTAGTTTTTGGTATAAAATACAAGAAAGATAACTGTGTTCTCTGTTTTGGGCTTTTTTTTTTTTTTTTTTTTGGTACCAGGGATTGAGATCAGTGATACTTAACCAACCACTGAGCCATATACTCAGCCCTTTTTATTTTGAGACAGAGTCTCGCTAAATCGCTGAGAGCCTCACTAAATTGCTAAAGCCAGCTTTGAATTTGTAATCCTTCTGCTTCACCTTCCGGAGCCGCTGGGGTTACAGGCATAGGCCAGCACTCCTTGCTCATAGCTGTGTTCTTATATGGCTTCCATTGCCAACATGCATAGTTTTTTGTGGGTAGTTCTCTTTTAGTTTGGTAACTAGTTTAGAGTTTTCATATTTAACATACGTATAAATTGTATCATTTGTCATTATAATCTGATTTTTCATTTTTTTTTTTCTCTGAAACTTCATATAAATTGGCTTTCTTTCCTTTTCTGGACAGATAAAAATAGATGTCTGAAAGCAAATGCCAAATCATGTGGAGAATGTATACAAGCTGGGCCAAATTGTGGGTGGTGCACAAATTCAGTAAGTAAAGTTGCACATGTCCTTTCCATTTACTCTCTGATTATTGAGTACTGCCCAATGCTGTGTCCTAGTGAAGTACTAGATATGAATTTTCACTTAAGTCAGTGTTTATTGAACAGTGTGTGATGGTCTAGAACTGTGCTGTTAAGTACAGTAGCCACTTGAGCACTTGTGATGTGGGTGGCACAGATTAGTTGCTCTAAGTCTCAAGTACAGATTTGAAGACAGTATAAAAAAATCAGTGTTGAAATAATTATTTTATATAAACATGTAATAAGTGTTAAAATTAATTTCTCATTTCTTTGTTTCTATTGGATAACTTTCCAGAAAAATATCTACCTATTTAGTTTGACTATTGTAGATTTTTTTCCCTTGTTTCAGTGGGGAGGTATAGATTAATCTTAGAAATCTCTATACCGGGCTGGGGATGTGGCTCAAGTGGTAGCGCGCTCACCTGGCATGCGTGGGGCGCTGGGTTCTATCCTTAGCACCACATAAAAATAAAATAAAAATGTTGTGTCCACCGAAAACTGAAAAATAAAAAAAAAGAAAAATCTCTATACCTTACCTAACATGATGCCTTCTAGAAAGCCTACAAATTTCATTGAGTAAATAAATGAATATGTAAGAATAGGAAGTAAGGAGAGGTTATTTTGAGGTTATATAATTTATTCAAATAATGAATAAATAATAATAAAGTCAAAGGATTATTGATTATGTCTTTACCTAGGCATTTGGACTCAAATTGCAAGTGCCTAACTGTAGGCTTAACTGGTCAAATGTCAAGCATGTCAGATGATTTGACCATATCAAAGAGAGGTTTTTGTTTTATATCAAACTATTTCTTATGGTTCTTTTCTGTTACCGTTTTTAAAATGGTAAGCTGGTATTAACTTGGAAACAGTGGAATAAAGAGTGCTGTGAGTTTATCTTAGGCAAGGCTTACTTAACTGCACCTCTTTGCTTTCTTCTCTGGAAAATGAGGATATTGCCCCCTTTATCTGTAGCTTCAATTAGAATTGATGACCTGTAGTAGTGTTTCTTTGATGGTTCTAAATAAATAGTAGCTGCTATTATCATCAACATCCATTTCATAAAGGCCATAGTTTATATGTAGTTGAGGATTATTCTAGCCAAACTATTCCTTAGATAATTTAGCCTTTGAGCTCTGGACATAACTACTATTTGATATTTGGATTTATACATGATTAGTAGTTGTCAACCATACTGAATAAGTGATTTCACTGAAAGAAATGTGGTTTGATTTGATTTGAATTTGAAGTTTACTATTTAAAATAATACACTGAAATAAGTACTGGGAAATTTATTACTTTCTTAGAATTGATTTTACTATTTTTAAACAAGAGGACTTGTGGTTTAGACAAAGGGAGCTTTTTGTTGTAAAAGCCCAAAATGAAATGTGTTGGGTATCATTTATTTTTTGTAATTTGTGTGTTTGCAATTATATTATGTAAAAAAGTTTGCTTATTTATACTAGTATTTTATGTATCATTTAGACATTTTTACAAGAAGGAATGCCTACTTCTGCACGATGTGATGATTTAGAAGCCTTAAAAAAGAAGGGTTGCCATCCAGATGACATAGAAAATCCCAGAGGCTCCAAAACTATAAAGAAAAATAAAAATGTAACGAACCGGAGCAAAGGAACAGCAGAGAAGCTCCAGCCAGAAGATATTACTCAGATCCAGCCACAGCAGTTGGTTTTGCAATTGCGATCAGGTATAGAATCTAACTCTATGAATACCTTCCTTTTTACTTGGGTATTTTGTTTGTTTGTTTTTATGGTGCTGAGAATGGAACCCAAGACCACTGAGATACACCTTCAACCTTCTACTCGAGTTTTTGACACCATCTTTATACAAGCCTCTTAATTAGTTCTGTGGAAGGCTCCTTTTTACATGTGAACTGGCACTCCAAGATGTGGAATAGGCTTAAGTTTAGGATTTTTTTTTTTTTTTTTTTTGCAATGTTAAAAAATATATGTGCATTGTGTGTGTGTGTGTGTGTATACTTAATATTATTAAATGTCTAATGTTAGTAGCAAGTTTTGTTAAATATTCAGAAGGTATTACATAGACTAAATGAATTTTAAAAATAATTATGTCCATCCTCCACTATAATTTCATAATATAAAATCAGATTTTAACAATTTCCTTTGTATTTATTTAGCATTGCAATCCCACAATTAAAAACAAAGAAACAGCAAGCATTCTTCATATCCTTTCTCATTTCTATCCTTTTAGAAAGAATGGTACACATTCCTGTCCCATGACCCTTTTCTTTCGGCTCTCCAACCTGTACAGTCAGGCCTCAACTTCCACACCTGGTCTGTAAAGTGCCATTATCACCTTGAACCTTCAGGGATCCTTGTCAGAGTCATTCATTTATATATTTATCTAATTTATTTATTATTGTTACTTTTAAGCCTTTCTGCACTAAGTGATGCTTTGAACCTCTTGGGATGCTTAGCCCTTAGCTTTTGTGATGTAACTTCTTGTTGTTCTCATCTCATCATTGCTTTCTAGTCCCTTTTTGTGTCTTATTTTTTTCTCTCTCTGAAGTTCTCTTAAAATTTGTTTTTCCTCCATGGCTTTAAAACCATTCATATGCTGAAACAACAGCTCTGTACCATTTCATACAGAAAAATCAACATAATAAAAACCAGTAAGTTTTCATCCAAACCTTTATTTTTCTCCTGTAGTGTCTGAGAGTGTGTGTGTGTGCGTGTATTTTAGGTGCTAAGGATCAAACCCAGGGTATGGCAAGTGCTAGACAAGTGTGTTATCTCTGAGCTACGTCTCCAGCCCCTATATTTTCTGAGTGAATACATTTATCATGTTGTGTGTTTCTCTCCTCTTCTCCTTCCTCATTGTTCAGAGCTTCATTTCTCTTGAATTTTTCTATAGTTTCTTACCTGGAATCTTTGTATGATTTCTTTTTAAAACTCTTTTTTTGCCACGTTTTCTGAAGTAAAAATCATATTATTTACTCAACATATAGTGACATCCTATTATACAGAGATTTGTCACTTACAGCTTCAGTCTCCAAATGTTAGTTGTACCCTGCTTTGTCCTCCTCAGTCTAATAGATGTTATTTTGTTTGTTTTTTCTCTCATAATTAAAAACTTGTGTTAGTTGGCTTTTTATTACTATAACAACTACTGGGGATAATTAGCTTATAAGGAAAAAGGGTTTATTTGGGTTCTCAGATTTGGAGATTTCAGTCCATGGTTGAGTGGTCCTGTTACTCTGGGCCTGTGGCAAGGCGGAACAGGATCCCACTGACCCCCTTAAAGGGCACGCCCCCCAGAGACCTAACACATGAACCATTGGGGGACATTCCAGATCCAGAAAGATTGATTGTGTTGCTGACAGTCAATTTTTGGGAATGTTGTCTTTTTCATTTTTGTTTCTCTAAGATCAGGTGTTTTAAGTATTTGTTGAACAAAATTTAGTACAGTACACATTGAGTTACTTATAGAATTCTCAGGTTTTGTGAAAAGTATATACTTAATATATTTCATTTTATTATGTTTACCATGTAAGTCAGATTTATTTGGTTTTTTTTTTTTTTCCATTTGCTTTTTTGGTACCGGGGATTTAACCCAGGGATCCAGGGGCTCTTAACCACTGAGTCACATTCCCAGCCCTTTTTTTATTTTTATTTTGAGACAGGGTCATGCTAAGTTTCTCAGGGTGTTGCTAAATTTCTGAGGCTGGCTTTGAACTTGTGATCCTCCTACCTCAGTCTCCCAGCCATTGGGATTACAAGTGTGTACCATTGCACCCAGCTTATTTGCTTTGGATTATTGGTGAGCTAATTTCATTTTCTAATCTCTTTTTAATCAGGAGAGCCACAGATGTTTACATTAAAATTCAAGAGAGCTGAAGACTATCCCATTGATCTTTATTACCTCATGGACCTCTCTTACTCAATGAAAGATGATTTGGAGAATGTAAAAAGTCTTGGAACAGATCTGATGAATGAAATGAGGAGGATTACTTCAGACTTCCGAATTGGTAGGACTATTGGGAAAATTAATAATTTTCATATGTATAAGTCTTGACACTTGTCAAAGTCCTTTTGTTTTCCTCTTTTATTCTTTTGTTTTTTTTGGGGGGGCAGGGGTAGTGGTGATGGTACTGGGGATTGAACTCAGGGGCACTTGACCGATGAGCCACATCCCCAACTCTGTTTATTTAGAGACAGGGTCTCTCTGAGTTGCTTAGTGCCTGGCTTTTTGGTGACGCTGGCTTTGAACTTTCCATCTTCCTGCCTCAGCTTCCTGAGCCACTGGGATAACAGGTGCGCGCCACCACCCCAGCCAGTTTTCCTCCTTTATTCTTTATAACATTCTTGTGAGATAAATTTGCCAGTTTGTAGCTTTTTCTTTCTGAGAGGAAACTGATATTCTTGACGTACATCTAATGCTCTTTCTGCTTTCTCATTCCTCTGTTATTTTATGATACTATGTAATTTGACACAGATTATTCCTTATAGGTAGTGAAATCTATGCTTGTTTTCACAGGAATTTATCCATTCATCTGTTGATTCATTTTATAGACGTGTTGAGTACCCCAGGTTCTATTTCATTACCAACTAGTGTAAGCACACTTGCTTGTATGTCATGTCCTAATTTCATTTTATACCTGGATTTCATATTATAGTGATCTCAGTGTATCCCCAAGTGAACCTCTTTCTTCCTGCCACATTTCACCACTCGTCCAGCAGAAGTTTAGAAACAGAAGATTGGAAAGACTTGACTATCTTCTTGAGGCTAAAAATGCCTCTCAAAAATTAACTCTGTGTGGACACATTAAAAAAAATAGCGCTTGGTTAAAATATACTTTCATTCAGTAAAAATAATTGACCATGGAGATTGGAAGCTTTTACCAAGTTAGTCTTTTGTGAGGTGGTCCAAAATCTAGAATATTCCTTCTATCATGCTGTTATTGAGAGCTGGTACACTAAGAAAATGAATCTGAGTTATTTTCAAAGTGGGTACACTTATATCTTAGTCTCTTGGGCTGCTGTAACAAAATGCTGTAAACCGAGTAGCTTATAAACAACAGAACTTTTTTTCTCACAGTTACAGAGTGAGAATTCAACATCAAATCAGATTCTGTGTCTGGCGAGGATCCACCATTTGGTTCACAGATGGTCCTTCTAGCTGTATCTTCTCTCTGGGGACTCTTTTTTTTTTTAATATTTATTTTTTAGTTATGGTTGAACACAATACCTTAATTTTATTTATTTATTTTTATGTGGTGCTGAGGATCAAACCCAGGGTGTTGCATGTGCGAGTGCTCTACTGCTGAGCCACAACCCCAGCCCCTCTGGGGTCACTTTTTATGAGACTACTAATCCCAGTCATGCAGGCCCCACCTTCATAATTTAATCACCTCCCAAAGGCTTTAGTTTCTAATATTAATTACATTGGGGATTAGGTTTTCAACATGTGAATTTTGGGGGTGGGGCTCACATATATTCATTTCATAGAAACCTATATGTGATAACATAGTTGACTTTTGGAAAAAATACAAGCTTATCTGTATCTCTGCATCGATCTATGTACATGTGCATTTTTTTTCTCCCAGGATTTGGCTCATTTGTGGAGAAAACTGTGATGCCTTACATTAGTACAACACCAGCGAAGCTCAGGAACCCTTGCACAAGTGAACAGAACTGTACCAGTCCATTTAGCTACAAAAATGTACTCAGTCTTACTGATAAAGGGGAAATATTTAACGAACTTGTGGGTAAACAGCGTATATCTGGAAATTTGGATTCTCCAGAAGGTGGTTTTGATGCAATCATGCAAGTTGCAGTTTGTGGAGTAAGTGCATTTATTTTCTACAAGGGGATATCATTTGTATTACTTGTGTGCATTTTAGTGTAACATCAAAAATTACCTTAATTACCATGTCATTAAATTACTCCAGAGAAGTACAGGCAGTAATCTCTTAAATTACCTCCAACTGCAGGAGGAGGGAAATCATGTTTAATCATTATGTCTCTGTTTAAAAACAGGCATACAGAGTTTTAAAAGCTAGAATTCTGACCATTAATTGAAGTTCTGCATTTTTTAAAAATTTTTATTATTAGTTGTTCAAAACATTATTACATAGTTCTTGACATATCATATTTCATACATTTGATTCAAGTGGATTATGAACTTCCATTTTTACCCCATATACAGATTGCAGAATCACATTGGTTACACATCCACTTTTTTACATATTGCCATACTAGTGTCTGTTGTGTTC